GATAAGACAGTATAGGCGCTGCTAGGCACTTCTCGGCGACCTTGCCACAGTTCTCACAATTTGAGTAACCCCACCTTTGCGCAAGCTCCTTCTCTCCAAATACTGTTTACCAACAAGTTCTTATAAATAGCATTAATATCCAAAAAGAAGATGGGTCCATCATGGAAACGGTTGTGCAAATGTCTGCAGATAGTCTGCAGATAGATACAGAGGTTTGAACGGGTAGTGTTGGTGATAGTGGGTAATCCTTCTGTTAGGAATAACAAGATCCCTAAGTTTGAGTGCTGTCTGGCACATAGCATTTTAGTGCCTGTGCAGGATTACACAGGAATAAAAACTGGTTGAAGCAAAGATGGTACGGTGCTGCCATGCTCAATCTGCTGCCTCAGGTGCTTAAATGAGCTTTAGGCTCAGAATGTTTTGCTACATCTCTTTTCCCCACTATGACTTACTAGCATTTACTGTGGAATGCCTGAGATATTTTTGCACAGGATAGCGCACAGTGAAATTACAGAAAGCTTGCTCCTCAAGTCTCACTCTATTCAATACTTACGGCAGTTTAAGAACCTCCATGAAATTGTGGGGGTTCATGCCGACAATGTTTTGGTTTCTAAGAAGATAATGTTGGGGTTTGTTGGTTCACTTGTTTGTTTTTAAGTTAGTTTACATTTAATTATTTGGTATTTATACACAAGATGTAAAGGAACAGTAAATGTTCTGAAGAGGCTTAGATATTTTATGTCTACTTGTATGGCATACTGTCATAATTCATATAGAATAAATAATTTTCCTTATTCTGCTTTGGAAAAATGTATTTATGTAAAAAGGTGTATTTATCGTTAAATTATAATGTAATGAAATATAATGCAATAAAAATATTTTCTTGTTGAAAAATACACTGGGTTTTTCAGTCAATTCCATGTTAAGGCGACACAGGTACCCAGCTTCAGTTTGGTTAGCTGGGAAGCAGTAGCCACTGTGCATGCCCAGCGGTTCCCAGGCACATCTGTGGTCCATCTCTCTGAAATTCTGGGGTCACTTTGTACTGAGCAAATGTGCTTTTAGATTCAGATGCTCATTATTTAAACCCTTCACCTAGAGCTGCCAATGTCAAGAGAGATCAGTCCTAGGATGGATGTACTGAGACACAGTAAGACCCTGCAATCTGCAGGAACTTCTGGTTTAATTTGAAGTAGGGCTGTGCTTAAAGTTAAATGTTTTGCTGGGTGTGAAGGAGCAACAGTGTCTGGTGCGGTAAGAAAACATGACAGTTTACAAGTGGAAACAGTAAATTTGTTTCCAGAAAAAGACATTATTTGGGTCCCAGCTGTAACAAGCTGAAACAAGCTGTAACAAGCTGAAACAAGCTGTAACGTCCCTGACACATTTTAAAGCAAAGAATCTGCATCTCTGCATTCTTTTTAAGTGCGCATTTCTAGTGCAAACAATATAGTCAATCCCTAGCTACACAGTACCTATTTAGTGACAGAAAAATCAGTTCCTGTTTGCTCATGAAATTTAATAGGATCTTCTCTGAAGGTACAACCATATCCCAGACCTGTAGGCATGACTCAGAGTCATACTGTGTTCTCCCATGACACCTGAAGAAAGCTGGTTCATCCTTATAACACAGTCTAGTTTTTCTTTGAGAGGAATCATTGGAAAGCAAATTCATATGAAAAAGCATTGTTCCTGTTCCTTATTTCTTCCTCTTTACCTAGCAAGTCAGACAATCATGCAGCACTGGAAGTTACATTTTCTAGTTGTGGATACAGAGAAAATATTACTGATTTTTGAAAATTTCTTGATGTTTAAAATAGCTTTTCTCTCTACAATGCCAGAATTTTGAAGTCCAATATTTAGGCTATTGTGGTTAAGATAAAGTGCTATATTACTCTTTTTTTTTCTTTTTTTTTTTCTTTTTTTTTTTTTTCCTTCTCCCCAGTGGTGCCATCGTCCTACTCTTGAAGGGAAAAAGTCTTACTATATTAAAAACATTCCCAGGGAAAAGAATTTATTTTGCCTGACTTATCCATCAGATGAGTGCAGAAATGTAGAGGCAGAAAGGGTTAAAAAGATGTCCTGCATCTGAGAAAAACAATGAAGCCAATTATGCAAGTTCACAAACATTAAAGAGAGAAGAAATAGGGGAGAGTGTAAGCTGGACAAAGCTACATGTCAAAAAGCAACGGAGAATGGGATGGTTTACTTACATTTATGTATATAATCAAATAAATGTCTATCACAGGGGGGATTTTGCAATATGACAATTTATATATACATGCACACATCTGCTTGGATCAACTGCATATTATGAAATCACAAAATTACTCAAATGACAGATATTCTATACCTAACTGGCTATTCCACTGGGTCATAACATGAACTGCCTGGTAGTTGAAGGCATTTAAATGACTGGTGTTACTGGTTCAGTCACACGGTGAAATCTGGCTGTAAGGAAAACCAGCACCTTCCAAATGACTGCGATACTATTTGTCAGACAAAACTATCCAGAGTTTTCTCCCATAGTCCACATTGCTAAGTGAGGTGGAGCGATTATTTACTGTCTTCCCTGAGAACACTTTCTTTCTCAAAATCTATGCTAACAGACTGTTTCCTCTTTGCATTTTTCAAACTTTTGCCCTCTCTTAGGCTTTAATCTCCCTTTTATTAGTGAGAAAAAGAGAAACTTTGCTCTTTTCCTTCTCCATGGGAGTTTCATACGGATTCAGGTCCCTGTGCTATTTGGCACCTAAGCCAGAGGTCCCCCTTGTAGTGGTATGCTTTACTCTATGTTTTTGAAAGCAAATGCTTTTCTAAATAAATTAGAAAAAACATTCTTTCTTGTACTTTTGAGTTAATAATCCCAAATGCTTGCAATTAGGTACCTCTTAACATTTTTACCTTTTTTCCCCATTAATTTTCTAAAATTACCAACATGTCACTCACTTCATGAAATGACCAATTTCACAATATGCAAATACACACACAGAACCACAAACATCTGTTCATTTTGTGAGCTACCACTCACTCGCATAACAACCCAAACCAGTTCTGTATCGACTGGATCGGTTTCAGGAATGCTTTCTGAATACAGTGTTTTATGCATATCAGAATCATCAGCAATCCATTACAAGAAAAAGCAGCATGCAGTGTGCAGGTCTGCTCACAGGCCAGGAGACAGTGACCAGCAGTACGGCAAATGCACGTGGTTTTTTTTAGTATAGATCTGAATTTTCTCTCAGGAGAGATACCTAGAAAGAAGTGGGAAGAAGAGATCTGAGAAAAGAGACATATTCAACAGGGTTAAATGCAAGAGCATAATAAGAGGCAGCCTCTTTGTGCTTGCATATCCGAAGAGACTTGCAAGAAGGAATCAAATTGTCTTTGACTGAGAAAAATAGAGTAAAACCAAAGAGGGCTAAGGGCATAGAAGGGACCAGGAGGAGATGGTGGCTGTTCCCGGCACTTCCACAGCTGTTTTTTTTGTGCGTGTGGTGTTGCACAAGGAACTCAAATCCTCGTTTCACAAAACCCGGAACCACACGTCTTTAGTTCCCTTTTAAAGGAATGGAAGCTTGAATGACAAAGTTAAGCATAGCTTTAAGTGCTTTCTAAAACACTGCCTGAAGTTCAGAGGTGTTGAAAACTCACACCTTCTTATTTTTTTTTAAATTAAATACAGTATGAATAAATTTTCTGGGCATTGTATGAGACAGTGGATAAGTATATGTAAGAGATTCTTAAAGATCATTATCTTAATGTGATAATGGCTCTGACTTCCTCATCCTATCCAAATAACACAATTACCTAGATTTTTGCCAATGTTCTATTTTTAAATTGATTCTGTCTTGTATTACAGCACTGAGAGGAAATAAGGCAAGTACTGAACTATAAACGATGACAACAAACGAAGCTTAGTACCTCTCTCACTGCTTTAGCCAGCATGTTATTCTCTCTTAGTATTTTACTGTTTTCTTGGAATTAAGAAGGAATCACAGCATCAGAGTGGCTCTAACTTAGTGTTCAGTTACAGGTGTGTTAGTACAAGCTGTTTCATCTCAGATTTTCCCACTACTGCTCGTGAAAAAAGGCAGGAGCAAGAATTCTCTCTGCATGTACATGGGCATGAGAAGCAAATCCTGGAGTGTAACAGTGTCAGCAGTCCCATGTGGGGCTGGACACACAGTGCAGTTTGTTTTCAGTTCACTGTAAGAAGGCACAGAGAGCAGTCATGGACAGCAAGACTGTAATATCCCTCCTGATTCTCTCTTTTATGGGCAACTTTCCTGGTAAGAAAATTCAATTTATTTTCCTTTATATTACAATTCTTCTGCGATATGGTTTAGATAAACAGAATGTTTTCAATGTGTGTAGGACTTCCATTCTCACACTGTCTGGTCAAGAAAAACATATTCATGGACAGTCAGTGGGCCAATTTCTTGCCTCCTATTCTTCTGCTAGTGGAGATTCACTAACATTGGTGAACTTGTCCCTTCAATATTCTGAGAGAAACGAGATTACAACCAGGACTCCAGAAGTGATAGTCTGCAATAACTGTGTGGCATATTGCATTGCTAGCACTTTTCATTGTGCTTCTATGATAACAGGACCCAAGACAAAACTTGGAATATTCCACTTAGTTTGAATTAATCTATTTCTAATCAACTGCTTTCTGTTAGAGCTCTTTCCTGAGAAGTGTGAGAGTAAAAAAACCCCAAATCCTCCGGGTAAGTCCGAAAAGTATTTTGTGGGCAGAAAGCATGCCCAGTTTAACGGTCTGGAATGCTTCCAAGCCTCAGCACCACGTGGATGCTTGCTCCTGCTGCATCCTGGCTTCACACCGGGATGACACACATCTGCAGCCTCTCCTGAGCCACAACAGAGCTGGAGGTGGCCAATCTCCAGGCTGGACAAGCGGGTAACGGGACGCCTGTATCATTACACACACCTGCAGTGCTGCTTGGCTTTCAAGTGCATTTGTTTCTGCTTTCTGTCAGGTAGGAAGGGAGGTGCTGGTCACCCAAAAGAAGCACCAGTACATTCAGATGGGCAGAAGATAAGTGAGGAAGGAAAGTACGTGGATGATCGTGTCAAGGTACAAGAACTAGCACAGGGTGAGGTAAAGGGATTTGCTGTTTGGTCTTAAGGGATGTCAAGACTATCCACAATAAGAGAGGACTGATGAGCTGCCTGGAATTTTGCAGCCCTAACTCATCTCAGCAGTAGGAGCGTCCATACGCCCCACATCCATTTATCTGGAGTTTGTCTTTGCTGCGTGTTGATACTGTTCTCAAAGTACTCAATTTCCTTTCTTCAAATCTATTCCATAGTTCAGCTGCCAGGAATTTCAACCTGAAGATGCATCTTGCCATAGTAGGAAAAATGGACAAATGTGAGCATTGTGATTGTAAATTTTAACCTGTGATATCTGACTTGGAAACAGGAAGATATCCCTGGGTCTGCAGTATGTGGAGCTGGGAAGCTTCACGGCCGGTGATCCTGGATAACTTTTGCCACCTCTCTTGTGCTCTCTGCTTAGTCTCTAAAACTGGGATAACATTTTTTTTTTGCTTCACTAGGGAAATGTGGAAGGACTGTCAGACAACAGCAAATCCAGTTCAGGACTTGTGTGCCGTACAATGTGTGGCACATTTTAATCAAACTCCACCTCAAAGCTTGCTGGGTTTCTTGCTCCTAGCAGTTACCCAGAGTTGTTTCTCCAGAGGCCCCCACACCTTTCCTAGCATCTCGATTAAGCTTCTAAGATGAATATATTCATGGCTCTTTCACACCAGGTACCAGTGGAGAATTTTAGCCCAAACAGGTTTCACCTCCAGGCTGTACTCACGGGGAGCAGCTGTTTGCCTCTTCAGCTAGCTTTTTTTCTTCTTCTCATATGACAGGACCCCCACACTTCCAGAAGCCTTTCATTGCACTTGATGTTGCAGGCTCCCAAAATAACTGCAGTCGTAATGGGACTTTATAACTGTTACCTGTTCAAAGTCTTCAGATCTCAAATGCTCTGTTGTCGCTCAGTGAAGGTACTACCTTAAACCCATAAAAAGCAATCCATTTATACCTTTTTATCCCATTTGCTTTTTCTAATTATTTTTTGCATTGTTAGTTTGGTTCAGTTGCAGACGTTATAAGCTTCCCTTTCCTTTCCTCACAGAGATGATGCTGGCAGCAGAGCTGCGGTGTCACTGCATCCAGACTGTCACAGGATTAATGTTGCCAAAGTACCTGGCCAACATAGAAATCATTCCTAAGGGCCCCCACTGCAACACTGTGGAAATCATGTAAGTAAAGCCAGCAGGCAAGAGAAGGTATGGTTTATGAAGGCCAAAGAGCTGGCAGCCCTTAAGTTTATAATCCTCAGCCATGTCTGTGTCCTCTGACCTCCTCAGGTGCCGATAGTAACTGCAGTGAAATGTTCTTTCCATTGCAGAGCAACACTGAAGAACAGCCAGCAAACCTGTTTAGATCCCCAGGCCAAATGGGTGAAGATGATAATTAACAAGATTCTATACAGGTAACTGCCAGGATTACCTAGTAATGGGATTTGTTCCACCAAAGGGCATATTTTATCCAGTATAAACATCAATGTGTGTGCAGTCCACAGGTCCTTCTCTGAGAGCCACTTGATTAGCGCAGGCCTAGGAACACAGGAGGACTAGAATCAGTCGATCTTTGGACAAGGCAGAAACAAGGCCTACCTGACATATCTCTGTCACTTAAAACAAGCAAACAAACTGTTGTGTCATACTTTCCAAACAAGTATGTTGACCCAGGTTTCCTCAGGGTTGTGTTCAGCCCCGCATTGCAATGTTTAGGCTTTCCGGAGGAACAGTCTTGAAAGCAATACAGAAGTGTTGCTTGGCACTGCCCTGCACCAACTGGTCTGCCCAGGAGCCAGGATGACCATTAGGACAAGCTTCTCTTGTGCCCATGGGTGGGTGCATCTCCTCAGAGATAAATTACACACAACAGCTATCCGGGCAAACTTATTCCAGAATAGTTCCAAGTGACTTCCCACTAGTGCAAATTAAACAAGCATTCAACCAAAAAGAAACAAAGATGAAAATATTTTCGTTGTTTTCCACTAAAAGTGCATCTGTTTTTGTCTGGTTTTAATGTTTGTAAATTAATCTCTGTTCCTGCTGTAATTCATTACAATATCTGCATTACAGTTCATCCAAGAAACCATCCAAGAAATGGCGTCAGTAAAGGAAACAGTGCCATCTCAGCAAACAAGCGAAAGCTGCATAGGAATGCCATTAGCCTTTAAGTTTCTCCAGGGTCAGGGTACTCATCATTTTATCCTAGCGTTCTCTATCCTCACTGCTCTGCAGGCACAGGCTGTTAATCTGCAAAAGGAAACTGCTGGGCTCAATAGGCTGTCACTACACTAGAAGACTCGTATTTTATGGCAAAATTTTACATGGCGCTTAACCACAGAGGCATTTAAAGCACTATCCTAACCAAACCTTAGCCTTGCATAGGTCAGCTGGAAACACCTGCACAGGTTTAACACCACCAAGGATTCGGCATTCACTGAACCGGCGGTTACACCAAATCATCTCTATGCTTCTTTTTGAACGACTATGCAGTATAGTTTTGTCTAGTTTAAGAGGGCTATAGTTTTCAAAGTAAAGAAACATTAACCAAAGGAGATTCTTACTAAAACAAAAATACAAAAAGGGAGAAGGGAGGGAAAAAAGCAGTTCCTTGATATGGGTAAAAAACTTGCCCAGAGGCAGTACGGTCAATGAAGTGAAGCAAATGCTATAAGATTTCAGTGTTTAAAAACTGGTTTTTTTGGTCTTATGCATATTAAATATACCTCTAACCTTAAAGCAGTGGAGTCATAGTAATTCTGTTATAGGAGTAAGTGGTCTCTATAAGACTTGTGCATTCAAAAGGCTTAGTGTGCTTGCTGCAAAGGCTGAGCTAGCTGTGAAAGAATCAGATCAGCATTCTGAAATGGATCCAGTTAATGGGACTGAAAGCACCAATAACTCTGCATGAAAAGCCCTTGCGTAAAACTTCAGATCAAAACCCCAACAAAGTAATTGTAGCCTCTTACCTCCTTCAACAGGCTTCACATGAAGCCTCTAATTCTAGGGTGCTTCACTGCCCAGCTACATGTTACCTCCCAGCTCAGATACTACAGGTTTGACAGAAAGAGCTGATACAAGTAGTTTCTCACAACAGCTAAACAGGAGATGAATGATGAAAACTGGTGCAAAGAGGAAAGCAGCTGGACAAGTCCAGACTAAAAGGAAGAGAAAGAAGGATGAGGAAATAAAAAGGAAACCTGGAAAATAATGAAATAACAAAGATTCCTTAGAGGGTGTGGAATTTTCCTGCTCCTGTCTGCACTGCCCTGACTCATTACAGCATTAGTTTTGGCAATCTGAATTGTCCATGTCATCATATGTCAGAAGGAAATGTGCCATTCTGATGCCAGATGTAGGAAATTATGTGGGAAATGCTGACTCACTGCAAGAAAAACAGTATATTCATAAAAACTCACCAGTGAGGCTTGTGGCACACTAGATGAAAGTAGTATGAAATATAAATGGTGAATCTGTATGTAATTCTTCAATCATATAGAAGGAGTCAAAATCAGAAAATAAATGTAATTTTTTTAATCCATTTTGATATTTTGAATACCAGCACTTGGAGTTTGAAAGGGCCACTTCTGTCCGGTGCTTCATTCCAAGCCACAAGGGAGTAAATGTCCACTGGTTAGCAAGACAAGACTTCTTTGTAAAGATCTTTCTATTAGACTTATTGGTAATGATAAAACCTTTATTAGACTTTATGTGGGGGAAATAAGTATATGGACCACAAAAAACCTTGTTATGCCACTTCCATATTTCCTTACATGGTGAAAATACTCAGGTTATTTAACTGTCCAGTAGAGTTTTTTCCCTTTTTTAGCAGAAAACTCAGGCTGCACTTTAAGAACAACACTCTTAAACTACAGCTTTAGACCCTTCTACTGTGAGGAACTGAGTCTCTGCTCTACAGGAGGTAAAGACCTATTATCACCACCAGCTTAGTGACAGGGAAACTGAAGTCATAAGTATCCCAGAATTGTGACCAAGGTCTCCCTTCTAAAGCCACACACCGCTGAAGGACCACCCTCCCACTTCTCCATATCAGCAAATTACCACATTTGGGAATATTTCCTACAGATACAAAAATCTTCTCTTGTCAAGAAAACAGAACATTGCGGTAGTGTGATTAGAAAATATTATAGGCAAACATCTGCTCTTTACCAATTCATTCATCCTAAATGGAATAGAAGACTCTTCCATCGGATTTTTTTCATACCATCCACCAGAGAGGAATGGTAAAAAGAGTTTGTACTGAAAAATACAATAAGCACATAAAAGGATGTACACTTCTACCAAACTGCACTGTTCTGATTTATATTTATTCTTACTCTGGCACACAGGCTTTTGTAGCAGAAGGGTATCATCTGGGTTGCACTACAGAAAAGTTTTGCCCTTTTTGTTTTGCCCCAGAACGACAGCTTAGTACTCTTTCCATACACAACAGCAACGGGCCTTTGCTGGTTTGAACAAGCTTTTCCACATTATCATCCTGTTTTCAAACCCTGTGAAGGGAAGTTGGGTAGGTAAAGGGTGGATGTCTCGTGCTAACAAGAAACACTTCCCTAGAGCTCTTCTTCAGTAGCTGTGGTATGGCAAAGACTGCAATTCCAGATTCCTTCAATCTTGTGTGATTTTTCCCATGATCCAAGTTATTTGTCCACTTTTCCGATTACTTTCTGGCCCACCCTACCCGACATACTACATATGTGAGTCACAAGGTGTGAAAAGTTACACTGGCATCAGTAGAAAATATTCTCAAACTTCGCATTTACACCAACACTAAACAGAAAAGTTCAACCGAGAACTCGTTCCACTGCAGGCAATAGAATTATACTACAGGTGAATGTAGCCTGCAGATGCTTTTGCCTCATGACTGGCATATATTTGAGTACTTGTCCTGTGGATGAACTCAGTATTTACTAAGAATAGCTTACTGAACTATGGAAAATACCAGTTCTCTCCTGTGCAATTGCAATTTTTCATTTCAGGGTTTTTCCAAAGGCACACCCTATTTACTAGTCATCATCTCTTAACTATTAGCAGCATTCTCCTTCCATGGCACATGAATAATAGTAAATTGCAATGGCAGGAAGGCATCATATACCTTAAACTCACCACTGGGCAGGAACTGGGTAGCACATTATGACCAAGGTCGACTGCCATCTCCTTAAATTTTACTTTTCTGTAAATCAGGGAGAGAAGATGAAACATATTCATGATTTGAGATAAAATGTTCCAAATATCCTCAAACATTTCCTAGAGTAAATGTCATTTTCAGAAATGATGTAAGCATGTAAATGCCTAAGTCAGACTGAAAGCCAGTAGCATCTACATGGCTAAGTGAGCTCATAGGTTATGAATTTAAGATATAAGTAGTATTTAGGGATAAAATATGCCAAGTGCATTTATTCTGAAATACAAATTACTTCTCCCAGTTCATTCTTACCACTTTGTAATTAAGAAAAGGCCAATGTTCACATCTATTGTAATACCAATACAACTATTAATATTAGAGTTTTACCATTGTAGTTTGGCTTCATGTTTCCCTGTTCAGACAAGCAAAGCATCACTTTAAAAAAAATAATGTTTTTACAGTGCTATTAGATGTTGAAATTTAAGTTTAGCATATTTTTGGAACTTAAGGAGATTTACTAACTGCACCGTGAAAATCTTAGGTCAGTTCAGCATTTGAGGGTGCTGCTCTTTGGAGCTTTAGATAATTCTGCTGAAGGGTATCAATTCAAATAGGGCCAGGTTCACTCAAATTCTAATAGCTTGGAAAAACAGCTCTCATGTTCTGCCTGGGAACCTACAGGGAAATTAAAAACCTGTAAATAAATTTTTAGAACTCAAGTACAAACAATAAATGAAACCTTTTTTTTTTTTTATTCCCTCCCAGACGGGTTCAGTGTACCACATGCAATAAAGACAGGATCAGGAACAAGACTGGGGACATGACAGACGATGCATAAGCCTGCTCTACTACTGGCACATCACATAGGCTTCAAATTCAGGGAAAAAAATAATGTCGCAAATATCTTGTGGTTTCAGACACTAAGAATGTATTTCCTGTCTGGCTAAGTTCACATAGAGCAGAATAAATCATATCAATACTACTCTTTTCTTTGCAGCTGCCTAAAACCCTTTGTCTGACATTCCGGTCAGCGGAAGCTGCTACGATTCACATTGATTTCCTTCATACTACTAAAACATACATTAAGGAGTGGCATAAAAAATCTTAAGGCTTTAACAGCGTAAGGAAGAGGAAAAGACTTTTCTTTTTTCCATATCAGCAACGTTAAAGTTTATCTATATTCAGAATGGTAAAACAAGTCTTTTTTTAAAAGTCATTTAGGAACACAGCTATGGAACTCAAATTGTAACATGAAAGCAGATTTTTTAAAAAGCAT